ACACACACACATAATATTAGTAATAATAATGAGAATGAGAAACTCTGTAGAGATGGTACACTAGCTAACAGTAACTACATACTACTCTTTCAGAGGATCTGGGTTCAATTCTGAGAATCCTCATGGCATCTAAAAACCATCTCTCACTCCAATTCTAGGAAATCCAATGCCCTCTTCTGATTTCTATGGGCACCAGGCATACATGTAATACGTATGCATACATAAAGGCAAATACACATACATATAAAATTAAATAAGTAAATCTTTAAAGACATTTTTTAAAAAGATTGTCTAAGTGTCCTCATCAATGAGAGGGACAATAATTCTCTCCAACATATGTACAGGAGAACCACAGTAGAGCTGCTAACTACTTGACCATGATCATCATTTTCACTATGCCTCCTTCCCAGTACTGAGATGTCAGAAGTGAAGCACTGCACTGGTTCATGTGGTGCTGAGGATAGAACCCAGGGCTTCCTCCATGCCAGGCAAACACTGTCCACAGGGCTACATCACCAGCATCTCTTCATTGGCTTCTTTTTTTTTTTCTTTTTTGAGACAAGGGCTCACCTTGTAGCTCTAGTTGGCTGGAAATTTGCTAGGTAGACAAAGCTGGACTCGAACTCACAGAGATCCTCCTGTCTCTGCCTCCTGAGTGCTGGAATTAAAGTCGTGGGCCACTACATTATTAAGGGATTGCACAACATTCATGAAGAAAGGAGACTTTCAGCAACTCACCTGAGGAAACTTGTAAAGTCCCAGAAGTCTGGCCATGGAGACAGACAGGGATGACCTCGTGTCCCCAACCAAGGCAGCCTGAGGAGAGCCATGCTGGCATGTGTAGTTGGGGATGGGCTCCTCCTGCCCCGTGAGAAAGCTCATTGTCTCATGGAGGGCTCCATGCACTGAGTCCCAAGAGTTTCGAATAGAGAAGCCCAGGGTCACATTGGGCAACAAGTAAGCACTCCTATTAATCTCCTCAATGGCAAAGACGAAACTCTGGGCCACCCGGTAGCCCCAGTTGGAAACGCTGAGGGAAAGAGAAGCCCACATTCATCACTCATGATGGGGTAAATGGAACAAGAATAAACACAGTGACTCAAGGGATACATGAAAAACCTACACCTCCACAAATACTTGTACACAGATGTGCAGAGGAGCACACTTCAGAATACATAAAGGGAAGCCAGAGGGAATGTGGAGACAGTAATCAGAGGGGCAGTTTCAGAAGACAGGGGGGATAAGTGAAGATGTATTAAATAAGCTGGTGTGGTAGAACACTTTTTTAATTCCAGCACTCAGGAGACAGAGGCAGGTGGATCTTCCTGAGTTAGAGGCCAGCATGGATTACATAGCCTGACTCAGGCACCAAACCTACATACAGAAACTCTCTGTCCTGAAAACAAAGTAAAAACCTATTGCATTGTATGGCTGGTTACAATCAATTGAAACTAATATCTATTTCAGAAGTATTGAACCCAAGAGCCAGAAGACATGGAGAAGAGATGTGAAATGCTGTCTTTAGAACATGACTCAGACAGTGCAGACCTGTAAGCCTGTCAGCAGACAATCATGCACTGGAAAATTCCTTGTGTGGCCCTACTCTTCCCTGCTGAACTATTGTCAACTAATGTATTTGGGGGAGAAGAGACTCATTGTCTTCAGTCATGTACCCAATAGGTGAACCCACAAACTCCAAGGACAGTTCCAAACCTGCAACCACACAGATAGCCCTGGTTAAAATCACGGGGTCACAGCCCAGTGGTTGTGGCACATGCCTTTAATCCCAGAACTAGGGAAAAAGAGGCAGGCGAAACTTTGTGGGTTCAAGACAGCTGGGTGTACAAAGTGAGTTCTTGAATAGCCAGGGCTACAAAGAGAAATCTTGTCTAGAAAAAACAAAAAAGAAAAGAAAAGAAGAAAAAAAGAAAAAAAAATCAATGGCTAATGAAACAAAAAGCCATGAATGTGGGTAAGGAACCTGTATAGAGGAGGAAGGAAGGGCAGGTGTGAAAGGAAGGTAAGAAAGGCTGGGGATGAGAATTAAACAAAATGCACATTATAAAACTATCAAAGGAATAAAGAAAAATGCAATAAAATTTTGAAACATATACATGCAAGGAACACTAAACAAACTCAACAGGTCACATTAATGTATTTATATATTTGTTTGCATATTTATGCAACAAAATAAGTAAAGAATAAAAGACCATGAATTAGAGCAGGAGAGGCACATGGGAGGTGTTGAAAGGAGAAAAGTGAGCTATATGTGTGCATACACAAATATGGGGCTGTTCAGATAAAGATTCTGCATAGCCCTGGCTGGCCTGGAAATCAGAGATCCACCTGCCTCTGACTCTTGAGTGTTGGGATTAAAGGAAAATGCTGCCACATCCTGTTGATTTGGTGTCTTTTTTCTAAATGCTAATGTTGAGAGTAGATTTTTTTTGTTTTGATGCAGAGTCTCCACACCACCCAGTCTGAACTCAAACTCAGTATTTAGCCAAAAATGACCCCAATCATCATCTGTATATGTGTGTGCATGCATGTATAAGACAGATGACTTCTAGCATTGTCTTCAAGCATGGTGTGTGTGTGTGTGTGTGTGTGTGTGTGTGTGTGTGTGTGTGTGTGTCAGAGTTAGTAAGTGTGTGCATGGGTGTATCCTCGTTGAGGGTAAAGGCGATGGGATGTCAGAGTATCTTTCACAACTGCTTCTCCACCTTTAAAAAACATTATTCTGTGTGCATGTGTGTATATGATGTATCTGCAGACCAAAACATGCTACAACACACAGAAGTCAGGAAACAACTTTTGAGTCAATTCTCTCCTTCCACCTTTATGTGGGTTTCAGAGAGGGATCAGGTCATCCATAAAGCTTGCATGCCAAGCACTTTACCCCATAAGGCATCTCAAGGGCCCCTCTTCACCTTATTTTGTGAGACAAGTTATATCACTGAACCTGAAACCTTCACTTACAGATTCTCCTGTCTCCAATTCCCACATTAAACTTTAAATGTTCACATCATGAAAACATAAGTACGCAGTGTGATGGGTTTGTTGATGAATTAATGAAATATTCTATACTGTAAATGTTCATTAAAATACATCTTTGTACCCAATACATGCATACAATTACTACTCATTTTTATTAAAAAAAAAAAAAAACATGGGATCCAGATATGGTGGCACACATTTGTGATTCCAGCAATCAGCTTGTGGAGGAAAGAAGATATCGAGTTCTAGGCTAGCATCATCTACACAGTAAGACCGTCTCTCAAAAAAGAAAAAAACACTCAAGGACAAGCCATGTGGCCACTGTGTTGGCCCATGCTTGTAATCCTGAGTGTGAGGGCTAGTCTGAACTGCACAGGGAGTCCCGACTAGTCAGAGCACAGAGTAGTTTACTGTCTCAAAAAAAGCAATATAAATGATTATTAATGTGAAAAATCAGTAGTGAAAGCCTCTTGCATTTGTAGCTGATTACAAAATGATGGTAGTTACTTTAGAAAACTTTCTTAACAACTCTTTTTGACTCGGGTCTCATTATATACCCCAATCTTGCTGTAACTAATAATGTTCCTACCTCAGCTTCCTGAGAGCTAGGAGTGCAGCCATATGCCCTATGCTCAGTCATTGCTACAATGAAAAACCAATAAAGCTAAATACAAACATTAAAAAACCAAATAATATTCCAAATACTTGTTTGAGAACTATAGCATGCAACAGTATCTTGAGAAAGCTGGGACAAAAATATCCAAAAGTGGGACTGTGGATATGGCTCAGTTCATAAGTTTGATCTCCAGCACATCATGAACTGAGTTGGTAATATGGTCCAATCATCTGAGCATTCAGAAGGTGGAGGCAGGAGGATCAAAAATTCAAGGTTATCTTCAAGTACCTAGTGAATTGGAGACTTATGAGTCATAGAAAAAAATAACAAGCAAAAGGAATATAGTACAGAGGAATCAGGGAGGCTGATAAATAATGAAAAATCTATTATTTACACAACAAACCCATTCAACAAACACACCTACCTAGATACCATTCTAAGAACCAAGTATATACAAAAGAATCAAGAATCACCCCTGGCCTTTGGAGCACATACATTAAAGACAGTACATTAGAAGCCTATATTTCAGTCTGATACAAACAAGAAAGATAGACAGACAGAAGTGATGTAAAAGGAGAAAAACAGAACTACTGCATGTATACACAAAGAATTGTGGTGGCCATCTAGTTGGGATTCTGAGAATCAACCCTTATCAAAGACTTCACACAAGCTTATAAAGCTCCTTCGGGATTTCAGAGATTCCTATCCCACATCCAGCTCTTACCCTGAAGCCACAAGTCCAGATGGTAGGGCAGTGAAGTCAGACAGGTTACCAATAGAGAGGTCAAAGATGGAGAAGCTGCCCCCCACTATTACATCTCCAGGACGATCAAAGCGAGGCCTCTGACTCGGCAACAGCCAGGCTCTTGGTGCAGAAAAGGCAGACCCAGAGAGACAGCAAAACAGAACAGGAAGGAGAGTACACAGCCACATGCCTGCTGGGGGCCAGGCAGCCAGTGACAGGACAGCCCCACATGGGGCAGTGGCTAGCAGTGAAGGGGGCTTTTATCTGGGAGACTGCCCTTGATCAAGGACCTCAGGCTAAGACCACACTGGGAGCTCGAGGCTTGCAGGCTGTGGGGAGAATATTGATTGTGATATGGTGGAGGTTGGTGGCCACTAAATCTCAGTCATTAAAAGTTTTATCCCCTTCTCCTGAGGCTTCATGGCCTCTCTGCATCCAAGGTCACAGCTCTGAGCATCATCTGCAGACTACAGGAAGGGCGACAACAGGTCTGACTGTCTCCTGGGGGACTTGCAAGTGCAGGACCAGCTGTGCTCAGGGCACTGTTTTGTAGAGAGACCAGGTAGGTACAAGAAGCAAATACCCAAGTAGCTAAAATGGAATATTTCTTCCACACTTTATGTTCTGGGTGATCTTTGTTGTTCCTTAAGAAATTTTTTCAGTGGTTTATCATGGAATTTGGACATACAAACAACCAATCAGTAGAAAACAATAAAAATCCATGTTTTTGTAGAGTCATGAGAAATCCTCCCAAATGACTGAGCCTTTCTTCTATCATTTGAAAACAGATCCCAAAGCTGCCAGGATGGTTTTCAGGTAAAAATCACTTGATACACAAACCTGATGACCAGTGTGTGATACTAAGTACCGACAAAGAGATAGGAGAGGACCAACTCTACAAAGTTATCCTCTGACTCCACACACAAGCCATGGCGCACACATACACACACATACACAAACACACACACACACACACACACACACACACACACGCAATTTATACATACAAAAAAGATATACTCAGGTAAGAAGACAAATTCTAAACTCTGTTACTCCAACAGATGAGTATAATTTTCTAACATAATCATAATTCCCACACTGAAGCCTAAAATGGAGCCAAATCAGTAGCTCAGAGCCTTAGCAAGTAAAGGCAGCCTGATGACCCTCATTAAATCTACAGGTCGTAGGTGATGAGAGAAAAGAACTGACTTCGCAAACTTATCCTCTGACCTCCACATAGTGCTTTGGCACTGCATGTCCAAAAACATAGATGGGAACATGCACACACAAATCTATCAATCAATAAATGTATAAAATTAAAAACAGATCAATAGCCGGGCGGTGGTGGCGCACGCCTTTAATCCCAGCACTCGGGAGGCAGAGGCAGGCGGATCTCTGTGAGTTCGAGGCCAGCCTGGACTACCAAGTGAGTCCCAGGAAAGGCGCAAAGTTACACAGAGAAACCCTGTCTCGAAAAACCAAAAAAAAAAAAAAAAAAAAACAGATCAATAAAAACCAGCAATACTCCAGTTCACTGATATTTCAGCCTATGCTTATTGAACTTTCACTTTCAATAGTTTGATCTTTGCTTAGATATCAGGATATAATGGAAGTTCACACTCTTTAATTGATAGATAATTCTTTATTAATACAAGCTTGATTGAGACATAATTCACATACTGTACAGTTCATCCATTTACATTATGCAACTTTATTTTATTTTTTCCTTTTTTATTGAGAAATTTTTTATTCATTCCACATACCAACAACAGATCCTCCCTCATCTCTCCTCCCACTTCCTCTCAGCTGTCCCTACCAGCACACCCCACAGATACTCATCTGAAAAGGTATGGCCTCCCATTGGGACTCTGGTACATTCAACTGAGGCAGGTCCAAGCCTCTCCTCCTGCATCAAGGCTGTGCAAGGTGTCCTGTCATAGGCAATTGGCTCCAAACAGCCAGTTCATGCACCAGGGATAGATCCTATTCCCACTGTCAGGGGCCGCTCAAACAGACCAAGCTACACAACTGTCTGTCCAATGCAGTGAGCCCAGTCCAGTCCCATGCAGACTCCACAGCTGTCAGTCCAAAGTTCACAAGTTCCCACTAGCTTGGTTCACTTGTATCTGTAAGTCTCCCCCATCATGGTCTTGATGCACCTTGCTCACAGAATCCCTCATCTCTTTCTCGGACTGGAATTCTGAGCTTGGCCTGGTGGTTGGCCATGGCTCTCTGCATCTGTTTCCATCAGTTACTGGATGAAGGCTCTATGATGACAGAGTATTCACCAATCTAATCACCTGGGTAGGCCAGATCAGGCACCCCCTCCACCACTGCTAGTAGTCTAAGCTGGTGTCATCCCTGTGGATTCCTGGGTATTTCCCTAGCAGAAGGTTTCTCCTATACCAGTTATGGCTCCCTCTATCAAGAAATCTCCTTCATTGCTCTCACACTCTGCCCATGTTCCAGCTAGACAATCCCATTCCCTCATGCTCACATCCACCACCTCCTACACTCCATTGCTCCCCTCACCCACAGTTTACTCAGGAGATCTCATCTATTTCCCAATCCTAGGGAGTTCTATGTGTCCAACTTATGGTCCTCGTTGTTACCTAGCTTCTCTGGAGCTATGGGTTATAGGCTGGTTATCCTTTGCTTTACTTCTAGTATCCACTTATAATTGAGTACATGCCATATTTGTCTTTCTGAGTCTGGGTTACCTCACTCAGGTGATATTTTCTTGTTCCATCCATTTGCCTGCAAATTTCATGATGACACAGTATTTTATTGCTGAGTCGCACTCCATTGTGTAAATGTACCACATTTTCTTTATCCGTTCTTTGGTTGAGGAGCATCTAGGTTCTGGCTACTACAAATATTACTGCTATGAACATACTTGAGCAAGTGTCCTTGTGGTATGATGGAGCATTCCTTGGGTATATACCCAAGAGTGGTATCATTTGGGTCTCGAGGTAGATTAAGTCCCAATTGCCTGAGAAACCACCATACTAATTTCCAAAGTGGCTGTACAAGTTTGCACTCCCACCAACAATGGAGGAGTGTTCCCCTTGCTCCACATCCTCTCCAACATAAGCTGTCATCAGTGTTTTTGTTCTTAGCCATTCTGACAGGTGTAAGATGGTATCTCAGAGTCTTTTGATTACAGTTCCCTGATGACTAAGGATGTTGAGCAATTCCTTAAATGTCTTTCAGCCATTTGACATTCTTCTGTTGAGAATTCTGTTTAGTTCTGCAGCCCATTTTTTAATTGCATTGTTTGTTATTTTTGTCTAGTTTCTAGAGTTGTTTATATATTTTGGAGATCAGCTCTCTATCAGATGTGGGATTGGTGAAGATCTTTTCCCATTCCATAGGCTGTCATTTTGTCTTATTGACCAAGTCTTTTGCCTTATAGAAGCTTCTCAGTTTCAGAAGGTCCCATTTATTGATTGTTGTTCTCAGTGTCTGTGCTACTGGTGTTATATTTAGGAAGTGGTCTCCTGTACCAATGCATTCAAAGCTACATCCCACTTTCTCTTCTGTCAGGTTCAGTGTAACTGGATTTATATTGAAGTCTTTGATACACTTGGACTTCAGTTTTTTGCATGCTGATATATGCATATCTATTTGCAATCTTCTACATGTTGATATCCAGTTATACCAGCACCATTTGTTGAAGATGCTTTCTTTTTACCATTGCACAGTTTTGGCTTCTTTGTTGAAAATCAAGTGTTCATAGGTATGTGGATTAATGTCAGGGTATTCAATTAGATTCCTTTGGTCCACATGTCGATTTTTATGCCAATACCAAGCTGTTTTTATTACTATAGCTCTATAGTAGAGCTTAAGGTCAGGGATGGTGATGCCTCCAGAGGTGGCTTTATTGTTAAGGATTATTTTGGATATCCTGGGTTTTTTGTTTTTCATATGAACTTGAGTAGTGTTATTTCAAGGTCTGTGAAGAATTGTGTTGGTATTTTGATGGGGATTGCCCTGAATCTGTAGGTTGCTTTTTGTAAGATTGTCATTTTTGTTATGTTGATTCTACCTTTCCATGAGCATGGGAGAACTTTCCATTTTCTGATATCTTCTTCCATTTCTATCTTCAAAGACTTAAAGTTAGTATCATAGAGGTCTTTCACTTGCTTAGTTAGAGTTACTCCAAGGTATTTGATATTATTTGTGGCTATTGTAAAGGGCAATGTTTCTCTAATTTCTTTCTCAGCCCATTTATCATTTGTATATAGGAGGGTTACTAATTTTTTTTTTAGTTAATCTTGTATCCTACCACATTGCTCAAGGTGTTTATCAGGTGTAGGAGTACCCTGGTAGAATTTTGGGGACACTTATGTATACTATCATATCATCTGCAAATAGGGAAAGTTTGACTTATTCCTTTCCAATCTGTATCCCTTTGATCTACTTTTGCTGTCTTATTACTCTACCTAGAACTTTGAGTACTATATTGAATAGATATGAGGAGAGTGGAGAGCCTTGAATTGTTCCTGATTTTAGTGGAATTGCTTTGAGTTGCTCTCCATTCAATTTGATGTTGGCTGTTGGGTTGCTGTAAATAGCCTTTTTTATGTTTAGGTATGTTCCTTAAATTCTTGATCTCTCCAAGATCTTTACCATGAAGGGGTGTTGTATTTTGTAAAAGGCTTTTTCAGCAACTTATGAGATGATCATATGGAGTTTTTTTCTTTCAGTTTGTTTATACAGTGTATTACACTGACAGTTTTCATATGTTGAGCCCTCCATACATCTCTGGGATAAAGCCTACTTGATCTCTTCTTAGACATCAGGAAATAATGGAAATTCACACTCTGTAATTGATGGGTAATTCTTTTTTAAAACAAACTTTATTGAGACATAATTCACATAGAGTACAATTCATCCATTTACATTTACTTTATGCAACTATCCAGGTGTGGGAATATATCTAAAATCCCAATACTCAGGACACTGAAGCAGGAGGATTGCTACAAGTTTGAAGTCAGCCTGGTTGATGTGGAAAAGCCTGTGCCAAATAAGTAAATAAAAGGAGATGACAAGTTAGTGGTGTTTAGCTTATTGGTGGAGTCTTACAACCATTACCAAGTCATTTTTAATTAATGACTTGTGAGCTGCCTGACATGGGTTCTGGCAACCAAACTGCATCCTTTGGAGGAGGAGTGAGTGCTCTGAA